AGTTAGCTGTAAAGCACCATCCTGTCCACCGTACTTGCTTTCGGTTACATGATGCAGGAAAGAGCTACGCAGCATCCCTTCTCTCTCCATGGTGATGCTGCTCTCAGTGCAGGCTGGTGGGAGTCCTTCCCAAAGGCTTTTGTGTATTCGAGGGAATGCTGGACAGCTCCTTGGAAGAGGATCACTGAATAAGGAGACCTCATCAAGCTGTGAAACTCTTGAGCTTAGGCTAAATGCAGTTGCAGTCTAGGAGGCTGTTAAGGGGCATTATCAGCTTGTTACTGCACTTTTTGCCTTGTTACCCAGTTGGAGATGGGATACTGGGCTGGCTGGAGTCCAGAGCAGTTCATAGGGATGCCAGTGCAGAAACATCTACCTCCAGGAGCTGACCTAGAGCACACTGAGGGTTTGTACCCCAGAGTGCAGAAGAGCCTGAACAGCACTATCCTCCTTTCTAGTCTCTATCATGCCATCATGCACAGAAACACCAATACAGACAGGCTTCTCACCTCTGAGCTCCCTTAGGTCCCAGCACAGCCCTAGGGCAGAGTGGGAGCACTGCCCGAGGAGCACAGCCTCAAGGAGGTCTCCATCCCCTCGCTCATTCAGTTTATCTCCAAGATAAGGCTGTGCAGCCTCCCTGACGTCAGCACAGCAGCCAGGAATCCCCTGCATGAAGCCGCAGTGGCTTCACCCTTATTTTAATAGTGCACATCCTTTGGGAGCCTCCAGCGCTCGGATGCAGGCACATCATTTCTGCTCGCTTGCGGCATAGCCTCCAGGAACCCCCGCCTGGGAAACGTGACTGTATTCAGCACAACTGCGAACCTCAAGAGCAGAAACACAACTGGCCAAGTCGATTATGTTACAGCCGAGATTCTTAAATAAACAGCACTTGATGAGTGCAGCGGGATGTTTAATAAGAGCCTCCTCAGCCCCCTGTGCCCCCCGCCTCCCATAATCACTTGTAGAGGCAGCCCTACAATCTGCAGCCGGTGAGGGGAGAGGCAGCGAGACAGCATAATTTGTATTCCAGCTCTGCTAATGCTCCTAGTGCTTCCAAGAAGCAAGTAAAAATAGCACTCCATCATTTTGTAAATAATAGCTATCTCCTCACAGGCCCAGGGAGTCATGAGCACTTAAAAGGGAAATTGCAGGAAGGGCGAGACGTCTGCCTTGAGCCAGGGCCAGGAAGATGGGACATGGGGACACAGAGGGGGGGATAGGGGAGGGCAGGTGAAATGGAAACCCTGAAGCAACTCAGCAGCAGCCACTGCTGCTTTACACATTCTGCACGCACAAGGGAAGCAACTGACCCTGCTGGCATGGGGCTTGGTGCGGCAGGATCCGGCCCTCCACACAGAGCTAATAGGGATGTTTATCACTTGCACAAGCAGCTAGATCTGGTGTAGCAAATTCTTGGAGAAGGAGAGGGGTAGCTTTTAGAGAGCAGGCAGGTGTAGTGAGTGCCATGGTAACACTATGGGAAGGGATGTTACAGCTTTTGTTTTACATTTGCATTGCAGATCTGCCCAGCTGTGGGGAATTTCTGCAGGCAGGAGCAAGGCAGCATTGCCTGGCAGGCAGGGATGGGGCTTTGTACTGTGTGGGAGAAGGGACAGCTCTGATTGACTTGCAGCACCTTGTTCCTGCTCACACACTTGCTCCAGCTGGTTTTAGAAACACAGTTGTGCTGAAGCTTGGGAATAAACTGAGCCTATAAATGGGAAAAGCCTCCAGACAAGGGAATCAGCCTCTAAATTCTGCCCAGGTTCAGACATTGAACCTGAAAATCTCTTGCCCTTCTAGTTTCATGACTGCTTCAGGGTCTTTTTTTGCTTTCCTGGTCCTTGGGTGGCAGGAGCTTGGGGCACAGTGAGGCTCAGCAACGTGGCCAGAGGGTGCTTGAGCAGCCTGCCAAGAGCAATACTGAGCCCTCAGCTGGGCAGCGGTGCACAGCCCACACCATTACCTCAGGCAGCCAGAGCTGGGCTCTGGTCCTTGCTCCACTCCAGCTTCCTACCTGAACCAAGCCTTCCTACCAGCTAAGCTGCACCAAGCCTTCCTACCTGAACCAAGGGGTTTTGTTTCTCTAATTATAAAACAGGACTGGCAGCACCCGCCTGCCACCCCAGCAGGCTTGAAAGCTCAACTCACTTATGCATGTAAAAAAACTTAGAGTCATAGGGAAGGATTATGCTAGGAAAGGAAAAATGCCATTTAATGTTCTGCAACAGGTCTAGGGAAAGGGCTTAACCCTCTACAGTGCAGTTCTTAATTATTAAATCTTTGGTGAGAACTGGGCAAGACAGCCAAGTTGCAGTGTGAGCATGTCTCCAAATTGAGAAGGAGATAAAGATTTCCCTTCCATGTCTCTGAGTGGAGGCAGGAGATGCTCCTCTCAGCTTTCGCTTGCTGTAAAAGCGATGCAGTTCAGGCTCAGAGTGGGTAGGTGTGAGGATAAGGAGCGGGGAGGCTGGCTGAGTAGCTCCTGATTTCTCTGGAGGAGAAGGTCTCACCATCACAGAGCTGATGAGCTCGGGCAGAGCTGCAGGCAGTGTGGATGCTCTTGGGCTGTAGCATCACGAAGGAAGTGAATCTCTGGGGATGGAACTCTCTCTGTTCTGCTGGTGTTTTAGTTATCTCCGGATTTCCCAGCTCTGCTGAAATCCCTGCTTGCGTAGCAATGATTTAATTTCAGAAATCCTCCAGATCCCAGCCAAATCCTGCCTTTAGGAGCACATATTAACAGGGAAAGTTCAGTCTGGCTTTTGCCCTAAAACATGTAGGGAGCCCATGTTTCTGAGTATGGGGAGCATCAATAAGCCAGTGACCGATCTAGCCCCCCTAGCTCATCCCTGCACCGGGTGCTGCCTTGCAGGTGCAAAGGTGTTCCACTGAGTTCAGCGGGTTCGCATGACCTGGCCCAGGGGGTATGTCTGCAGTCTGGAAGTGGGAGATCCTCTTCAGACCCAGGCTGTAATTAATTATTAATATTAATAAATTATTAATATTAATTAATGGCATTTATTAATGCCATTATCTTTAATTAGATTTGCCAGTAGATTGAAGGGGTCTCTGGAGCTCTGTGACAGCCAGGTTCCAGCGTGATCAGGACATAAGGCTCATATAAAGAAAGCAGGATTATATCAAAAGGTGTTCAAAACTAGTTCTGCCTTTTTACCTCCTCATCACTTCCTGAATCCCTTCCTTCATCTTGGACCCCGAGGATCACACTGTAAAGCACATGGTTCCTTTCAGGGACCCCTGTCCCTCTCCCCCCTCGGGTGCAAGGGACAATTCATTCTCCACCTCACAAGGACTGGCTTCGCTGGCCATGGGCAGCCATGGATCCTGATCTGATAGCCATGGCTGTAAATTATTATCTTGGGCAAACTGAATGCCAAGAAGGGAGGAGAAGAGGGGAGAGAGAGTTTGTGTTTTCTCTAAAGCATAATTAGCTTTCTGTCGCTGCATGTTTTAGCAGAAAGAGCCTTGCTTCACTAAATGTTCTTGTCTGCTGTGTATCTCATTTGAGGACTTGTTTGGAAGGAGACAAAGAGAATACCCTGAGTGTTTAAGTCTTACAGAAGTAACTAATTTTGTTCAGGATGATGTCTTGTTGGCTTCTGGGTGTTTCAGAAAGTATACCACATACATATTTCTGTTTAACCTTCTTTTCATCACTTCAAGACGAGATCAAGGTTACTTATATAGCACAATAATATCAGCCACAGGCTGCATCAGAAGCTTTCCAGCCATAATAACTAAAGACATGTATACGTATATTTGAGCCATTAAGGAGAAACCCCTGCCAGAATGCATTATCTTATTTTTGGATACAAAACTTTGAAGCACAAAACTAAGCTTCATAGTACTGCAAAATAACTGTCAGGGGACAGAAGGATTTCCATAACTGCATTGAGCAACGGGCCATCCAGGCAACTTGCAAAGCAGCTCTGAGCCAGCTAATGCCATGCAAAAGGACCACAATGGCATGATCTGTCCCTAAAGTGGTGAGGATTTATGGTTACATAGTGCTAAACTCAAGGCACCTCATCTATCATTTTTTCAGTACAACCCAGTGGGCAGAGCATAGGACCATGAAGCTGGCAAATCACCATGCCTTGATTTCCCTGCAAAATAGGTCAGCAGCAAAGATTTCATTTAGGAAACATGCTGAAATTGTAATGAAGTCAAGAATGAGCACTGTATGTGCTATTTGGCATGAATAATACCTGCTGGTGGCTGTGTTCTGCAAAGCACTTCAGTTTATCTTTACCTGAAGGCATATGATTAAGATTGCCCCTGAGTTTTAGCACTCGGGGCAGGAACTGGTGCTCTGTGGTTTTGCTGGGGCAGTGCGGCTGCTGTTCAGCATCCACAAGGGCAGCACAGCCTGGGATGCAGGGGAGCATGTGATGCAGGTGAGCAGCAGCTTTGCAAAAGCAGCCACTTGCCAGGAGTGAGGCACTTTTAGGAGAACAGCAAACACGTTGGCAGTAAAAGGCAATCAGAATATTGATTCTTTTTACATACAGATAAGCCTGAAGCTGTAACAAACCCAGGGTTTCCTTAAACTGGTGGAACATTGCTAGGCTGTTTATCAGGCTGGGAGACACAAAGGGATTTCAGATTAAAAAGGAGTTTCAATGCATCAGGGCTTACCTCTATATTGAAAATGAGTGGATCTGTACCACGTTATGTGTCATGTAGCCACATACATTTTGTAAATACGCATTGTCTGGCTGTGTGGGTCATATTCATCCTCAGTGTAAGTGTGGAAAGCAGCAGAGCTACATCAGGCATGAATTTGCCCAATTACGAGTGATAAAATTGGCCATTATTCAGGGCACAGCAGAGAGCACGGTGCTGAGGGCTTGCCAGGGAGGCACCTGGCAGGGAAAACCACCACGTAACAAAACCCAGACTCTTCCCTGTACAAGTAAATTCAGTTCTGTAATTGCTTTTTTCCCTTTTTTTTTTTTTTTTTGTCCCAGACAGCGTAACTGAAGTCAAGACAGACATTTACGTGACGAGTTTCGGCCCTGTCTCGGACACAGATATGGTAGGTGCCACTGACTGGTCGTTTCACAGGGAGGGATGGCTTCTCCTGCAGCCACAGCGGATGTGTCCCACCCTCGTCCCTGGACAATCTGGGCAAAAGTGGGATTTTCCTAAAGGACAAGACACAAGCAAGCATCTCAGCTGCCTGCCCAGGCATAAGTGCACCTCATCGTCTTCTTGCAGACCAGGGGGAGCCCAGTGCGGATGGTAGACAGGGACTGTTTCTCAGGTGCATTTGGGCTTTTAGAAAATGATTGATAATGCAGCCTTGGAGGGTCGATGCCTTTGCACCACTCAAGCACGCTGCAGGCTTTAGAGTCTTTTTCTTTCCTGCAAGTGCAACCTAATGAAATGGGAGATCTGCCCATGGGACCAAGACCTGTACATAGCGTGCTCCATCCATTACATGCCTTGACAACCCCCTTCACTGTAGTCAGCTTTCCTTGACTTGACTGTGGGTGGAGGAAGGAGGGTGCTCCCTGGGAAGAGGAGGAGATGCCAGAATCTGACCTGTTTGGGTGGCAGTGCCAGAAGACAACAGTTCACCATCAAACTGTCCTTAGTGCTTGAACCAGAAGAGAGGTAAAAGAGAGAAGAGTGAACTGATTGCAATATTTTGACATGTTCAGGGAAAATTATTAATGAAAAGGCCTGAGGACTGAATTTAGGCTTGTATTCCCACAACAGTTTGTCTTCTAATTAAAACAGGCCTGTGGAGCATAATTAATAGTGAGCTTTCTCAACAGCATTTCTTGCAGCTTGTATTCCACACATGTCCAGGCACACAGAGGAGAGTTGGCTGTTGATGGTCGCTCAACATTTCAAGGGTGCCACATGAGGACAGGCATTTGTTCAGGACTGAGACCCTCCTGCTCATCTGGTCCCAGAGGTGATCTGGTGCTGGCATAGCCCAGGCCAGCGGTGGGCAGTCCTGGCCTTGGAGGGAGCCCACTTTGGGACAGGGAGCAGGCGTTGCTCTCGCCAGCTGCATCAGGCAGGAGCAATGTCCTGTGGCTCTCGTAGCCCCTCTGGAGGTGAGAGGGTTTCATTTTCTGTGCTGACAGGGTCATGAACATCTCTTCAGCTGCCCCACCGACAGTCCTGTGCTAGCAAGCGGAGGAGTTGGGGGAGAATAAAATCTCTGTGTTTCGTTGAGGTGCTAGCCCCCTCACGCAACCCCATGTTGCTTTGGAAAGACCACTCCCTACAGGTTAAAAGTTAACTTGATGTCAGCATAGCCAAGAGTATTAATCTCTCTATGTATGTCACTTGCTTTCCTACTGCAGCAGAGACCCATAATATATTCAGCAATCTTAGCCCTTGGGAAGTATCTGATAATTAGTTCCAAGGTGGAGCATATTTGATTAAGGGAGTGTGTATAATGAACTGTGAAGAAGCAATATGAGGTATTGAAAGAGGAAGGTATTCTCTGCAATGTGATTTGACAAAATGAATTTAAAATTAGGAAGACAGTTAAAGAATAATAAATTATTTCCCCTTCGCATGCTTTAGTTCCATGTATTTCACAAATGCATAGCAAATGTGTTTTAGCGTGCTGTTCTGGTACTAAATGCACTCAGAAACATGAGAGAGAGAAACCCCATCTCCTCGAGAAGCATGGGGACAGCCTGCTCTTCTGCAGTGGTTCCTTTCACCCTGGGAGTGGGGAAGTCCCTCCTTCCCCACTCACATCTGCCTGGTGATCTCGCTCCCATCCCTCCCACAGCCATTACTTATTGCAATGGAAAGCCACTCCTGCGCGTCTTGATGCAGACGGAGACTGTAATTATGATGATGGAGGAGAGGCAGGTAAAGCTGCTGCGGAGAGTGGAGGAGAGCAGCTGGTTATGAAGCGTGGAGGAGGACATGTAGACCTTTTCTCTGAGATGCTCCAAGGGATTTCTAATCTCTCTTTCAGTTTGGTTTGGAAAGTAGAGCCTGATAGGACCTGAACCTTTGGTAGTGAGCTCTTGCAGCTTTGCCTCAGTCCCCAGGGAAAAAGAAAAGTTCAAGGGAGTTTTATGCTTTGGTGGATGGACTCTGGAGACAGACTCAGACTTGATGTTTTCTGTCACTTCTATAAGGCGGAGAAGACCATAACATAGAACTAAGTGTGCCTCTTGGAAGGGATGATTTGGGAGTGATGTTCTCATTGAAGGAAGTATTGAAAAGAGGGGAAGATTCTGAACATGATTTCTCTTTTCTTCGGGAATGATTCCTTAGCATAAAAGAATTAAAACAGGGCTTGTGAAGTTGTTATAGAAGTTTTGCTTCTTTGTTTGCTTGTTTTGGGGTTTTTTTTATTAATAGAAACAGGGAGTTCTGAATAAGATAGCTCTTCTCCTGATCTTTTCCGAAGCCTACCTCCTGGGCTTGCACGCAGGCTCATTCCTTTGGTTTTATCCCTTTACTGAGCTTAAAAACCACAAAGTTAAGATCAGTTCCATGAAGGGGCAGAATATTTTGTACAGGGCAGAACCTGTGTGAACTTCTCTTTCCTTCCTCCAGTCCCTCATGTTTGAGCAGGAGTGGCTCTGTTGCCAGGGAGCAGGGATGAATTTCTTTACCAAGATGCTTTCATTCAGCTGCCATCTGCTGCAAAACTGTAGGAATTTCTATGACCTATAGGAAATTGATGCACAGCAGCTTTTAAATGCTGCTGAGAAGAGCTGCAGGAAAGAAGTCATTCACAATGATAAGTTTAGTTGGTCCTGCAGTGTCCAGGAACCTGTAAATAAAAGCTATGAGTCTGCAATGGCAGGGGAAGAACAGCTGGAAGAGACAGATTTTCCGAAGCCCCCGTCTCTCTCTGAAAGCCTTGTGACCTAATGAGATCCTTCATTAGCAAGAGGTGTGTGTTGTAGAGGTGAGCAGTGGTGCAGCTCATACAGGCTGAAGAATTTCCCTCAAGTGACATGGACCCTCAGAGGACACAGGGTGACTCAGGTCACAGGGAACAGCAGTTCCTTATGCCAGGCACTGGGCAGATTGATTTAATTTTGCCTTGGGGTGGCCATGGAGCCGAAGCACCTTTGCTGCTTGGTCAAATGGTTTCTGAGACTGCACACACCGGGCAAGGAGCTGACCCTGGCTGCAGGGTTTCAAAGAGATGACTTCTAATTGCCCCAACTGGAATTTGGCCTAGGAAATGGGTTTCTACACTAGCTGAAAGAAGAAAAGAGAAAAGAAAAGAAAAGAAAAGAAAAGAAAAGAAAAGAAAAGAAAAGAAAAGAAAAGAAAAGAAAAGAAAAGAAAAGAAAAGAAAAGAAAAGAAAAGAAAAGAGAAAAGAAAAAAAGAAAAGAAAAGAAAAGAAAAGAAAAGAACTTCTAATTGCCCCAACTGGAATTTGGCCTAGGAAATGGGTTTCTACACTAGCTGAAAGAAGAAAAGAGAAAAGAAAAGAAAAGAAAAGAAAAGAAAAGAAAAGAAAAGAGAAAAGAAAAGTCACAGGATCGTGCAATGCAAGTTTGTGAGATCCTTGATTCCGTGCTTTTCTAGAGGTAGCCTGGGGAACAAAATAACATTAAGACAATGTCATGAAACTTTATTTCTTTATTTTTTTTATAAGCAGGAGTATAATTACCTGTATCCTGGCCAAATTCCATCTCCAGGAACTTTATTTTGCCTTTTTAAATTCCTGCGTAGCTGCACACAACGGTTCCCTCCCTTGAAACATCTGGATAAAGGTGGTGGTGCAGCAGAGCTACCCCAGGACTGGCCACTGATCACTGTACACTGTATTGCAGCTTGTCTGCAGTGGTCAGAAACACTGAAATGCAAGTTTTGCCATCAAATATAAGTCATTATACAAAATGTGGTAAAAGCCCTCTATCTTCCACAGCTTTCTCCACTGCTGTTAATCCCTACTTCTTGTTGCATCACACTTCACTCAGCCAAGGTGTGCCAAAACACAGTATGCTCAATGACCAAAGATATTTAGCATTTCTTGAAATGCTTGTTTGCAAAAAAGAGCTGAGTAAAACAAGACTTATTTTTCTCTCCTTTTTCCACAAAGGAATACACTATTGATGTATTTTTCCGGCAGTCCTGGAGAGATGAAAGGCTGAAGTTTGATGGTCCCATGAAAATACTTCCCCTGAACAACCTGCTGGCCAGTAAGATCTGGACTCCGGATACCTTCTTCCACAATGGGAAGAAATCTGTCGCCCATAACATGACAACACCCAACAAGCTGCTGCGCCTGGTGGACAATGGCACCCTCCTGTACACTATGAGGTAAGTTTGTGTCTCCTGGGCCACGGTCTTCCAGGCTCCTGTAGTATTCAGGCAAGGATGGGACCTCAAGATACATTACAGAGCGGTTTGCACAGACTTCCAGTGACTCTGTTAGTACGCTTGAGTCTTACCCTGCTGCTTTCCCTGCTGTCCTTGTTTCCTATCTATGTAGCATCACTGACCCTCAACATATGCACATTTTTATAGGTAGCTTTTTTCTCATCATTCATGTTGATTTTTTTCTTTTATGTGATGAGGTAGAAGTGTTGGGATCTATAGTTTGTGGAGTTGGAGCACCACCCGGTTTATTTTTGTTCCTGACCTCTGGTGGGATATGAAGTCAGGTTTCCAGTATTGGTAGGGGATGTTAGGATGGGAGAATTTGTTTTTCTCCAGCAGCTTGAGAACAGATCTAAATTTTTTCAGCATGTTACACCAGAGCCATTTGAAATATCTAATGAGCCCAAGCTTGCCTATGAGAACAAAGGGGTATTTTTTCCTACTTCATGGAATCAAAAATCCAAATCTTTGTAATCAATGCACATCATTAAGAAAAAAACCCAAACATTATCAGCTTATTAAAAGTGCTTTGGAGGTGCCAGGTTTGGAGAGGCCATTGGAAGTTCTCAGTTTAACCCAGCCCATGTTGCCCCCAGCTGAGCTCTCAGTGTGAGCCCCGAACATGAGGTAGCCCTGCAGCATGAGATACAGCCTTTGCAACTCCACTGTGAGCTCCAGGAACTAGGGCCTTCCTTCTAAAACACAAGTTGCTTTGGGAATCCATGCTTGGGTAGTCATCTTTTCTGGATTTCTCAAGAACAGCCCTGGTACATACATTTAACACTGAGCTGCAACAAGTGGAGAGCATGGAGAGAAATGCCTTTGGGTTCATTGTACATTTGTTCCAGCACTATTCAGATATTCCTGTACGCTTGTAAGCTATTCACCCACATAACTAATGTTTGCCACCTGGAGCTGATGTACTAATTTGCCTTCTGAGGTAAATGGGCTTATAAATGAAACACCAAGCTACTCATAGATGCACAAGAAAGGTATTGATTGGTTTTGGAAAGGTGTAAATCTTTGTTTTCAAAAATTATTTTCTCTGCCTCCATCTTCAGGCTGATCCTGACTAATAACAGGCTTCATTGTGGATTCTGTGTGCTGAGATGCTGCACTTTCACCTCTGCTTTTTGAGGGCCAGACAGAATTTCATCTCTTCATAGTTAAGCTGGCTGTGAATCTACATAGTATCAGCAAGTTTTGCAGCCTACATTGATAAACAATGCTCTGCTTTTGTGCAGCAGTTTTCAAATATGAGCTAATCCTGCTAGTGCCCCGGGGGTTTAGATCTCCACACATCAGTGATCTCACGTTACTGAGGCAGATGGGGTAAATGAAGGGAGAAGCCCAACTTGACTTAAGGGCTTGGTTCTGCTCCCGGCTCTCTGACCTGCATGTGGATGACTAACACTCCCCCCATTTGTATCACTGACTGTAAAGTATTATAGGAGCTACTGGCATAAGACAGCAAAAAAAGGACTCAATTTCAGGGCTTTTATATCATATCATTTCTTCTTTATTCAGCAAACAGCCATTAGCTTCAGCAAGTTTTTTGTGACTGAGAAAGTATTGGATTTACTTTTCTGTTTGTGGTGGGTTGACCCTGGCTGAGGGCCAGGTGCCCACCAGAGCTGCTCTATCACTCCTCCTTAACTAGACAGGGCAGAAAAGGTGCAATGAAAAGCTTGTGGGTCG